CTGCTGCTACTATTCCTACTACTGCTGCTGCTGCTATTCCTACCACTGCTGCTGCTGCTGCTGCTGCTATTCCTACTACTGCTACCACTACCATTGCTGCTGCTGCTACTACTGCTATTACCACCACTGCTGCTATTCCTACTACTGCTATTACTACCACCGCTGCTGCTGCTATTCCTACTGCTGCTGCTACTATTACTGCTGCTGCTGCTATTACTGCTACTGCTGCTGCTGCTGCGATTACTTCTATTACTATTGCTGCTGCTCTGCAGCCACCACTACTACTGCCACTGCTACTACAAGATCCCTCTGACTGCATGACTCAGAGATGCACCAGCAAACCCCAGGGCTCCTTGTGAGGCAACAGACAGCCCAGGAGCCAGTCACTGCAGGAACAGCTTAATGCTACCCCCTGTACCCTTCTCCCCTCAATGCATTTTTCTAAAACATGCCATAGGTTTATGCCGTTTCCTTTTTCTTCATCTCTTCAATTCACCCCAGAGGGACAGAAATTATTTTTAAATTGGTTCTGCATTCCCAACAGTTACATAAACACTCGGACAACAAGCTCTCTGCTCAGCCAGGGGATGTTCCTCTCCTGCAGGGGTACGTCCTCACTCCTGCTGTGGGGGAAGAGGCCCCGGGGGCTGGAAAACGGAGCCAAACTGTACAGGCCCAGCAGTGAGAGGGACGGAAACCAGGTGACCAACCTACGGCCACGTGACGTCCCTCCCAGCCTCCTAGTCCCGCCGCCGTTCCATTTCGTCCTTATTTCGGTCCTAGGGGACTCGGTGTCTGTGAGACGTGCAGAGACCTGGGGACTCCTTGTCTACAGAGAGGGGGAGTCGCCTTCTTTATCTCAGCCAAGCGTGGGGGGCGGGCAGAGATGGAGATGGGGGACCCAGACCAAAAGAGAAAAAACGTTTGTTTTGATAATTGTGAAAAATGATTTTGAAATACGAACAGTATAAAAACAATAAGTAGACAGCTGTGTATGCCACCCAGAATTAGCATCTTTTTAAAGCAAGAAATACGGGGAGGCGTGTGGGAAGGACACAGGTCTGGGGGTTGGGGCAGTTTCATCCCTGACTCACTGTGCAGCCTCTGCAGCTCTCTGGGGATCGGATTATTTCCTGGAAAAAGGAGTGCACCAGCCTCGGCCAGTGCTTTCCAAACTCCTCTCTTTCTAACTATAAAATCTCTCCTTCAACAAGAGCAGAGGTGCGCTGGTTCCATGGGGCAGGCCACCTTGGCTGCCCCGCCCAGCTCCTGAGCTTACCCTGGAGCTCTCTGCCAACTCTTGGGGCCCCAGGACAAGTTTTGAGAATACCCACTACACCACCTCTATGGCCGCTCTAAGCTCTGACACTGTGTAATTCTGTATAGTGAAATTATGAATATCCTTAGCATAATTATTTTACGCACAATCCAAGTGATACGGAACACAGCTTCACCTTCCCTAACTTAAAGCGATCTTTTACTTAGAAGGCAGGAGATTCAAAGTAGTAGTGTTTGGGCGATTCTTGTCTTTCTACCTTTTCTAGCATAATCATGCATGCAGGACGGATTATCTACCTATCGGCCTATATGTACTTTAAGGGTATTTTTATTAAGAGAATTGCGTCTGTTGCCTTTCTCACAGATTTCCCTTACCTGTCCCCTTAAGTGAAGTGTTTACCTCTACAGCTTCCGTATTTTCAGAGATTATATCTTTGAGTGGGAAACACCAAGCATCCTAAACTCTACACATCTGGCCCCAAAACAAGGCAATATGGAATTTGGGGGCTGGAACAGGGAGAGAGTCCCCTCCTGAATTTTCAGCAGGAGGCACAGCATGGCTGGGGCTGGGGCTGGGGGGCGGGTGGCAGTTCTGTGCAGAGGCGGCATGGGGGAGGGGGTTGTGTGAAGTGGAGTGGGAGGAATGTGGGGTGGCCCCTACCGATGTGCCTCCTTGTGAGCTCCACTGCTGCATTCCTGTTGACGTTGGAGAGCAGCCCGAGGCAGAAGCGCTCTGAGTTGGAAGGGTCGGTGAAGCCGTCTACTGTCATGGATGGCTGGGAGGCGTGGAAGGTCTCCCCAACACGCTGGTTCAGCTCGTAGTAGGAGATGGAGCACCAGAAGGCTGGCTCGCAGTAGGTGACTGGCTGCAGGTCTGCAGAGACAGGCCAGGGGACTGGGTTAGTGGGTCACCCCAGACCCCTGTTCCCTGGATGGGTCCCTTGCATGCTTGGAAAACTGTTTCCCCGTCTTGCCAAGGGCATTAATAATCCCCCACCTCCATGCCTTTTATAACAAAATGTGTAGGGCCGAATCGGACAAGATACTCAAGTATGTTTAGAGAAGGCTGGAGCCTTCCATCCTGTCAAGAACCACTGATTTCACTTATTTTTAGCTTGGCAAGGCCCAGCCCCACCTGCCTGGCCTTGACAAGGGCTGAAACAGTTTTCAAAGAGGTTCCCAGCCAAAGTGTAGAGGGTCAGGCAGCAGCGGCCCCTGGACAGATGCACTGGACACACCTGGGGTGTTCTCCCTGTGAGGTGGGGCTTGCCACCTATGTAGGTCACCTCCAGCCACTCGCTCAAGGTCCCCAAAGTAACCCATACTAATCTCTGCCCCCAAAAGGGCTCCTCTGTGTGGCCTTGGGCAAAATTCTTAGCCTGCTGAAGTGCAGTTTCCATGTCTGTAAAGTAAAAAGAAGGAGCCCTGGTGGTACAATGGTTAAGCACTCTGCTGCCAACTGAAAGGTTGGTGGTTCGAACTCACCCAGTGACTCTGTGGGAGAAAAACCTGGCAATCTGCTCCTGTAAAGATTACAGCCTAGAAAACCCTATGCGACAGTTCTACTCTGTCACATGGGGTTGCTGTGAGTCGAAAATTGACTTGACAGTACCCAATAATAACAAAGCGAAAAGGCTGGGCCAGCTCTGTGGGTTCAAAAGGGTGCTCAATGTCTGCAAACCCACACACTCACCAGGCAGGGTCGGCAGACTGAACCTGCCTCCATGTCTCTTATCATAGATGGTGTTTCCCCAATGTTTTTAGATGCTGTTGGGGTGGCTACGACACAAACTCACTGTCATGGTGTGAATTATGTCCCCCCAAAAATGTGTGTATCAATTTGGCTGGGCCATGATTCCCAGAATTGTGTGGTTGGCCTCCATTTTGTGATTGTAATTTTACGTTAAAGAGGATTAGGGTCGGATTGTAACACCACCCTTACCCAGGTCACATCCCTGATCCAATGTAAAGGGAGTTTTTCCCTAGGGTGTGGCCTGCACCACCTTTCCTCTCTCAAGAGATAAAAGGAAAGGGAAGCAAGCAGAGAGTTGGGGACCTCATACCACCAAGAAAGAAGCACCATGAGCAGAGTGCGTCCTTTGAACCCGAGGTTCCTGCACAGAAAAGCTCCTAGTCCGGGGGAAGACTGACGATGACAAGGACCTTCCTCCAGAGCCGACAGAGAGAGAAAGCCTTCCCCTAGAGCTGACGCCCTGAATTTGGACTTCTAGCCTACCAGACTGTGAGAAAATAAATTTCTCTTTGTGAAAGCCATCCACCTGTGGTATTTCTGTTAGAGCAGCACAAGAGGACTAAGATACTCACCTACAAGAAATTCTGAATTTGTCATAGTCTCAATCAAGGGATCCTCAGAGTAAAACCGCCACCTTGTGAGGGGCTGGTTCTCTTTCTCAGAAGAGTTGGGAACCCGTGAAATAGAGGTTCCTCCCTCTTGTGATCCCACACCACCTTTCCACTTTCATTGCCTATGACTCCCTCAACCTCCTCTCACCTCCAGCCACACCAGCTCCACATCTGCCCAGGTACCCTGACCTCTACACCTGCATACCTTGCTCACACTGACCGCTGGGCCAGGAGTGCCCAGTCCATACACCCTGTTCCCCGCCTACGTGACTCCCACCCGTCTGTTGAGGAACCAGAGTCTCCTGCTGCTCATTCTCAGGCCTTCGTTTCTGACCTTCAGCGTGGATTGCTCACTCTGGGCCCTGCATACATTTGGAGCTGCCTGGTTACCGAGGGTGCCCTGGCTGCTCAACTAGACCATGAGGTCAGAGAGCCCAGGCTGACACCCCTCCTCCCTCACTTTAGCCCTTCGCATGGGGCTGTGGGTGAGGGAGGAAGGGGAACGCGGCCATGCCCAAGGGTTAGCACTGGCCAGAGGACCCTGCCCTTACCCGGCCTCTCTGCTCTCCCTGCTCACCACAGGCCGGTCAACTTCCGGGAGCAAGACCCCACAGGGGATCTCTGCTCACCAGCCCTTTGAGGTATGTAAAGCCCAAGAGAGAAAATGAAAAGCTGTTTCTGCCCCACCAGGAGGGCCTGGGTGCCCCTGGCGGGGCACAGCGGCCCTGACCTCCCCCTGGGGTCTCGATCTCCTCTCAGCGTGAAGAGAAAGCTATCACAGTGCTGGAGATTCGACCATAACAATTCTCACTCCACACACACCTGGACAGTGTCACCTGGAGGGCTGGGACACCTGGATCGGGTTTCTCAGCCTCGGCACTATTGCCACCTGGGGCTGGATAGTGTTGTGGGGGCTGTTCTGTGCATTGTAGGGTGTTTGGCAGCCATTGGACACCAGCAGCACCCCCCTCGCCTGAAGATGTAATGATCAAAAATTTCTCCCGACATTGCCAGGTGTCCCCTGGGAAGCAAAAAACAGCCCCTGCAGAGAACAACTGCCCCCCGGGTGACAGAGCACAGGCTTTAAAGTCAGAAGGGCCTTAGTTTAACCTCAGCCCAGGCACTTACTAGCTGTACAACTAGGAGATACCAGCTCAGCTCTCCAGCTCCAGCTTCCACTTTTCCCTCCCTGAGCCACCGGTGCAGGGGATCCTTTTTACTACCTGGGGCTCTGTGGGTAGACTGAGGTAATTCATGTAAAGTACTGAGAACAATGCAGGACACTTATCAAGCCCTCAATAAATGGTGTTAACCACAACGATAATAACCTTGACTATATGAACTGGAGAACATCCTGTTTCTGTCTCAGACTTCCATCTGAAGACGGGGCAAGGCATCCTTGCCCCATTCTTCTCTTCCCAGCGTGGAGCAAGGAAAGCTGATGATGAAAGCAGGGATCTAAGCTACTTAATGGGGCAGGGAGGTGGGCCCAAGGACAGGGTCAGTGTGGCCGTGTGCTGGCCCTGAGGGTGGGCTGAGGCACTTCAGCCACCTCCTCCTCGGGCTCTGCTAGATGCTCCAACATTCCAATGAGATAAGCTATATTCTAAACAGTGTGGTCACCAACATTTCAGCTGTGTTGCTTTGGAAACCAAAAAAAAAAAAAAAAAAGAGAGAGAGAGAGAGAAGAAACAAGAAATCCAAGTGTATTCCAAGCGTTCAAAGCAGCCAGGCAGCATGTCAGAGCCAACAGGGACTGTGGATGGGCTGCCGGCACCACTACCCAGGCGAAGACCTGATTCTAGCTCAGCCTCTGCTGACCTTGCTATGTGACCTCAGGGACTTCCCCTGTCTGGCCTCTGTTTGCTAGCCTGTACCATGACTACAGTAAACTAGAAGACAACCAGACCAGGCCATCTAGGTCACTGTGCTTCTGGCAACAGATTAGCCTGAACAGGCAGGTTTGGCTGATCTGGGCTGCCCCTGGTTTCCTCAGCAATATGCAAAACAGAACACAGAGTCCTCACCCCTAAATGATAATACCCTGTCCATCATCCCCGGGGCTTGGTCTAGGTAGGAGAGAGTGCTAGGTTCCCAGGAGCACCGGCACAGCCCACACATCAGAATAAGAAAAGCCAGCAGGTCACTGGTTGTCTAGCATGGTGCTGAAACCATGCTCTGGGAAGGTGTGGGCTTCAGCAGTCTCAGGAACCAGAGAAGGGCTTGGGGTCTGAGGCCAAGAGGTCCTCCCAAGCAGATCTGAGCCCTCATCCAAACATCACTGCAATTCACAGACACACGCTGGACAGACATCCCAGTGTTGTGGAAAACTGGACGCAGGAGCCTGACACATAATTAGGAAGATGCCACTTTGGGGGACTGTGTAGTCAGGCCAAAGGCAATATTTGAAGGCGGCCACTTCAGAGTGCAGTTTGGATGAGCCGACCTGCATTCAGAAGCGGGAATGAGCTGGGGGAGCAGCCCCAGCCAAGCGTTTACTATTCTCTGTAAACAACCGAAAGCCAGCCCTGCCTTTGCTTGCCTCCCCACCCACCCCCATCACCCCTCCGCTGCTTCCCCAAGGCAATTCTGTGAGACGAGCTGCAGACCAAACCTACGGCCACTACCTCTGGGTTCTGCCTTGAATGGCGCATTTTCATTTTAACTGTTTGTAGGCCCTTATTTCTTTCCCACCAAAGGACTTATTCACACCAGAGTCAGTACAAGAAAAAGAAAAAATCAAGACCCTGTAAAGGATGGCTATAAACAGGACAACCGAGAAGTTATAGCTACTGAAAGAACATCCAGCTTGGCTCTGAGCTTCCTAGCAGACCAAGCAAAAAGGGAACATAATATGCTACATGGCTTTGGTTTGTGAACAGACAGTGCTTACTAGTTCTGCAGGGAAACAAAGCTTGTCCTGGCACTAAATCCCTAAAAGAAATCTCTCAGGGGAAACCCCCCACCAAAAAGAAGGAAGGGAGAAGGACAGAAAGAAAATAAGAAAGGGATGGAAGAAAGGAAAGGGAAGGAAAGGAAGGCAGAAGGCAAGCAGGCAGGCAGGCAGAAAGGCAAGAAAGAATCAAAGAGAGAGAGCGTGCAAGCAAGCGAGCAGGCCCACCCGCCTTCCCTGGTTTCAAGAGTCTTCCAACAAATGCAGAAGTAATTTTACATAAGGCTGCTTCTTAAAATGGACCTGAAGACATGCCATTAAAAGGGCCCTCTGGGAGGACAGCTCTGCAGCCCGATGGAGAGCAGTGCAGCTTCTCCAGGCCAGAGTCACACACCTAGAATGGTGGATGATGGCACATGTCCAAGGCCTTCCCTTTACACAGCTCTCCTCCCAGCCAGACGCGTGCATCTGTGCTCATCTCCCTCCGTCCAGCAGAGGTGTTTGAAATTCAGGAATCTCCAGCCTGGCTGTTCCAGGCCCCCACCCCCACCAGTGCGGTGGCGGCCAGATTCTTGAGTGGCATGGGGCACTTAATTCATGGCTGGCCCCCTGCTAGC